GTGGATGAAGTGAAGAATCTGTAAGACAAACATCCTAACCTCAGTTTACTGTAACTGAGAAATTGTGTTTAGTCACTTACTCAGTCTTTGGCTCCGGCCCCGCTGCGGGCCTCACTTCCAGATTTCTGAATCGAAGCGTCTCCTCAAACACAAACAGTCCGCTGTTTTCCCACTGTATCTTGCCATCCTTCTCACCATCAAAAAAAGCGACCGAAACAGGCGAACGGAGCGGCATTTGTTTGTTTATTTCCATTTGCAGTGCCGGCAAACTGTGATCCAGCTCCTGTGTAGGTGACTCAGAACGGGACCAGCGGATGCATTTGAATCCTTTGTAACAATAGGTAGCTCGTTTCTGTTCGCAATGTCCTGAAAATGTAAAGTGATTCATAGATGCGGGAAGATCTCAGCAGTGTTCAGACAGACGTTAGCACTGCGCTGAAAAATGCAGCCTCATTTCAGTGAGACAACTGTGTTGGCTCCTTGATGCTAAACCGAAGTTGTTGGCTCCGTTTTTTGTTTTCTCACCTGTACCTGTTGTAATACTTTCAGTTTTTTTAGCACAATTTAATGTAATTATTAATTTTCTTTCTGCAAACCATAGCGGTGTAAGAATACCATTTTTGTCCCAAAATAACACACATCCAAATGTTGGCCTTGTGGCTACGAGCTGTGTTCAGTTCTTCCGTTTTTCACAGTATTGGAAGTTTTTTTTTTTCAGTCAGCCTCTGTTTTGTTGTCAGTTTCTACAAACATGTGAAGCTTGGTCGAATTAGTCTGAAATCCAGATGTTGACAAAGTATGTTTTTGACCTTCCAAATCACTCGGCTCATCCTTGTAGATTTGAAGCCAATGTTAAAGTTCAGTTTCCTCGATTCTTTAATTCCTTGAAGATTTTCAGCAAACCCTGAGCGCATAATTCTAAAGACAGTTAAAGTACATCACAAAGAAAAGCAGTAGAAAAGGAATTTGAAAATCCAGACTGGGTAAAGATTTTAGGCCGACATAGTTTAGGATCATTTCAGGATTTGGGTCAATAGTGAAAACAGGTACACTCCTGAGAAAAAGCCTTGACTTTTCAACACATTTATCTTCCTGTGAGGTTTGTGTTACGTTTGCGACTGTAGCTGTATATGTAACATGAAACAACTTCTCTGAGCTGTTTAACAGCCTCACAGATTCGAACATAGATATTTTTTGTGCCTAATGAAATAGTAGTAACACACACACACACTCGGCGAGCAGGTAAATCTCCGTACTGAGGGTGTAACCTGGCGACGACAGCCTGGGAATGTACAGAGGTGGGGTGGAACAAGACGAGATTTACAGCCGCGCACACATGCACGTAGAGTGGTGACTAGCAAATTGCGAAGCTGAGTTTAAGGTGAAAGAATGTTTCCGCTGTTCTCCTCAAGCCCTTCGTGACCTCGACTCCTTTCCTCTACGTCTGTTTTACCTTTCTGTCGTAGTATCCCTTCTTCCCTTTGGTTTTTCTGTCTCTGTCTATATCTTTTGTCTCCTTGTCTGTCAGGTATTATGGGTGTATAGTTCTACCTCTGTGTTTTCCCCAAGCATTGTTAATACTGGAGGAAAGACGTTGTTTTGCCTCTGCGGACAGCTGTGGCTGAAAGTATTATGTTTTCAGGCTGCCATTCTTCTGAGTGTGATAACTCTTTGTTTGAGGGAATTTCTTTAACTTCGCTCAAACGTTCACTTGACAAAGAACAAGCTGATTTAAGTTTGAAAGTCAAATGTCACTGTGATCTCATAAAGCACATTTTTGGCCATGATTTATAATACCTTATGGTAATTCTGACGACATTTCACACAAAAATCTAACAGGATAAAATGATGACATTCATGTCCAGAGGGTCAGCTTCACGATGACACCACAACATTCTGTATAAACACTTTTTTTTTTTTTTTGGCTGTTACTCAACACCGTATCTCAAAAACACAAGGACAGATAGATGTGAACTTCAGCTTGTCTGATTAGTGGAGGCAGTAATTTAAGTTCCAATGTTAAGATCCACACAGCAGTCCGACTCAGCAACCAGGAAGCCCACCTGTCAACATGAAACATTCCTTGAGCATAAGAATAATAAGGAGCATATACTAAAAGTGTTTATGTGAGTGGCTAGAGTGTGATGTTCACTTCAGCCTTTCATTCTGACATTAAAAAAATGGATCAGTTTTTGTTTGTTGCCACATTTTAATTCACTTTAAATTGTTGTTTGGTGTATTTATAGTTGGCTTGCTGATTTTGCTATCCAGTCGTGTAACGGGGACTGATACAAAATGGCGTTTGGGTGCAACAAAGAACGTTAATGCAATGGTTTGTGTCAATCTGTCTGAGTTCAGACAGATTCGAATGAAATAATGCAGACTACATCCATTTAGGGGAATTAGCTTTTCCTCAACAATCAAAGATATTTTCAAATATTTTTTTATTGATTGGAGTTTTTAAGTTGATTACTGTGAAAAATTGAGTTGTTTTAAACTTTGTTTTCCCCACATTATAAAAAGGATTTTTCAATGTTATGCACTTAACTATCATAACTATAAACACAAGTTTTGACGAGCATTTAGTGAATTAAAGTGCTCAAATCTAGTTTTTGTTTTGTTTTCGAACACACATTATTTCAATCCTGAATACAAAAACCTGAAATTTGAGTTGAAGTTATCCAAACTATTTAAGTTGACGCAATTACCAATGATACTATGTCGAGCCAACTCATCAAAATAATGTTTGAAACTGTGAACATTTATCTAAATAAATCACAAGTTCTACCTTTCAACCATGCATTAAGTAGTGGGAATAGATCTTTACTTTTTAGCATGTGGTCCACAAGTGTAAGGACATATTGGGTGTTTTTTTTGTTTTAAGCTTTTCTGTCTTATGGAACAGAAATACTATAAGTTGTACAAATGTAACTCTGTACTCCAAGAGGGCTTTTTGGTGGATAGGGAGAATAAAACGAACTATAAACAATGCTATTTTCTTTCTGGATAGTCCTCATTGACCATCACTGGGTTTACGTTGGAACTTTTTTTGTACGTGGGATACTTTATATTCAGCCAGATAATGACAGTTTGTCAGTGTGCACTGAGTAGAGGGACACTAAGTAGTACTTCTGTGCCACTAATGTCTTATTTCTGGCCTAAATGTTCAACATTACCACCGCGGCTCCGTGCCGTCCCAGCGAGCATCACTCTGACAGGAGGGGCTTTTAAAGGACCGTACCTGTTTCTGACTACCGTGTTTATCCATGCGCTACATATCATATATACTTTACCTCAGCGACGATCGTTTTCCAAAGCATACCTCAGTGTTTTTGATTTTCTTTTAAAAAGTTTTTTTCCTTCCTCTCAGGCAGCGAGTGGTTTCATTCATTTCAGCATGTTTTGAAATTCCACTCGGACGAACTTGAAACTTGTTTGAGTCAGGCGATCCGTCACAGTGTACATCATGTCTGCCTTGATTATCGTCAAAGCAGCTTAAAAACACAGCTCAAAAAATGGTCATCTCTGATATGATGTTTCGTAAATGTGCTGAAAATGCAGATATCTCGAAATTAAAAGGAAAAAAAGAACCTGCTGTTACATCAAGAGTCAAACTGTGAGATTGTATTTTGGAGGAGATCTGGATTTCATATTTCAGAGTTGGATAAGCATCGTTCTTTTACTTCCACGCTACGTCGAAGCATTCTGAGATGTTGAAAAGCGGATAAAACCCAGACAACAATAAAGTGTCGTGAGCACTAACAGCCCCGAAGAACGTTGATAGTAGTTAGCGTTCAGAATGAGATTTGCGCTTCTGATTTTTATATTTAGTAAAGTCGCTGCATATTCGCTTTGACAGCGTGTGTATCTAACCCTCTCTGTTGTGTTTGTTGGATGTGATTTGTTGTTTAACTATTCAGTCATCCAGAACGAAGGGTCAATGAGAAATTAAGCGAGTGAGGAGAGAAGAAAGTTGACCGCAGTCTTTCTTCCTCCTTAAAACCCCATCCATTTTCTTTCGCCTTTCCTCTGTTTTCGACTGTTTTCCTTGGCTCTACCTATTCTCTTCTTCTCTCTCTCTCTCTGCCTCAGTTCATGTATTCCAACCAAATTGAATTATTCACATAATCACATAATAATTGCTCGTCTGGAATGAAAAGGTGCACAGTAGTTGTAGGTAATTATTACTATCTGTAATAACCTGGAACTTTCCATAATTAAAGTGTCCCTCCCCTCCCACACCAGCTGTCAATTTTCATATTATTTCTCTTTCGGTCTTTTCTCTCATGCTGCTTTATTTCCACTTGTTTTTCTGCTCGACTCCGGTTTTTCTCCCTCTCCTGTCGTTAGCTCACCTCCTCTCTCCCGGTTACCTCGCTCCATCTCTTCTTAACAACTGTTTTCCTCCATCCCTCCTTTTCCCTCGCTCTGTTATTCTAGCTAAGTGTAGATTTCTGCCAAGCTCAGCACTGCTTAGGCTCAGGACACAGTTGTAGTTGGCCTTAACTCGCCTCCTCCCTCCCTTCTTTTTTTTTTCTTCTTCTTCTCCAAATTCACCCCCCCACACACACACTTTTCACAAAACTTCCCTTTCGGATCTCCGACAAACACACCTCCGCACTCGGTGTTGATGTTGAGTCTCCTGGTCTCGTAGCTCTCAGATACTCGTGTAATCTGAATATCTGCACTGTTGACTGTGTTAACAAATGTTAACCCGGCTGCTGTTTGGAGAGAAAGCCTAAAAGGCGATGTGGCAGGCTTGGTTGATTCACCGTAGGGGGGCTTGGCGGTGATGAACGCCACTTAAAAGGGAAGTGGGCTGTTGGTTTTCAGGAAAAGAGAAACAGGGAGGTAGCATATAACAGAGCAGAATTAATCAGCCATTAATAATAAATACTTAGCTCGTAGTCGTAGATGTTGCGCTATTTTACAAGCAGATGCTTCTCTAAAGGTCATAACAACGCATGATTTTTCAATTTCGATTTATTTACTTTTGTCAGGAGTTCCCAGGGTTCTCCAGTCCAGGTTCAGTCTTCCTCTGGCGTTGGTGTGTGTACCTTCCTCCCCAGCCAAAACCACCAAGTTTAAGATCACCGTGGACACCAACCAGCCACCGGTTGACCTCAGCTCCATCTTCCGAGGTAATGCGCACACACACACACACACATGCTCGTGTACAAAGACACGTACTGATGCTGCTCTCATGTTCCCAAACAGCATTTAAATCACAAATTGCCTCCAAACCGAAACACGTTGTTCTGTTTAAGTTGTTGCCTGTGGAGAAGAGCAGGAGGTATTGATACTGGTATTACAGTGTTTATGGAGAGTGGATTGTCCACTGATTGCATCTGGTCACAGGTTAAAGTGTACTTCATGACTGGATCATTCCGTGTGTGTGCATAAGTTGCGGAAAAATGAGATTCATGAGAAAAAAAAACGATAATACCAGTGATGAAAACATCTTTTTTTCACACAGGCATTAGTGTAATGTTTGTACTCTTCGACTTTTTTTTTTTTTTTTTTTTAACAGCTAATGAATCTTAATGACGTGGCCACAAGAGGGCGTTACACAAAGCCAAATGACATAAACGGGAAGCTAGGGCAGGGAATGAAAGAGTTGTGTCGCTGTGTGAGTGTGTATACGTTTATGTGAATAATCAGTGGTTATGTATCTATGTGTGGTTGTGTATTTATACGAGTCTGTTTATGCGTGTTTATTTATTTGCGATTGTGTGCGCGCACGTGTGTTGGAGCTCTGGGAACCACTGTTCTGTTTCCCAGTTATCTGGCCATCGCCTACAGTCAGCAGCTCCGACGTCTAAACACACATTCAGCGTTCGTACTGATTGTGTGCTTTTTGTGCGAGGAGGGATTTGCGCAGGCTTATGTTGTGTGTCTTTGTGAGCAGTGTGACTGTATCTTGTTCACCTTTGTTGGCGTCCTGTATCATGATAGGCAGCCCTATCAGTCTCATCACACTGGGGGTTTTTTTTGTCTTTCTGTCTCTCTCTGCAGAGTTTTCAGCAAAATCAGAAGATAAGGATGGGAACAGTTTGGCTTTCCAGTTTCTGTCGGGAGCCAAGGTTACTGTGTTGGCCTCCAAGACCTCCCGTGAGTCTGACAGCAGTGCTACATAATAAGGCTGCGCTGAACACTGTTATTCTACCGGTTTATCTATCGACCATTTTAAAAGATTAGTTTATTAAACAAATAACTGTACTCCAATAAATCCAACTGACCGTTTCATTCTATGTTAGCTTTAGGTTTAATGAGTGTGTTTAGCAGCAACACGGGCCAAAGACAGTAAAAGGCTCTTTCTGCTACTGAATAGCAACACTTGGGGTGATTGTGACTCTTTTGGTGACGTATTTTTCAGAATAGCACCTGTGTCTTTTCTCTTTAGGTGTCTTTTGTAATTGTGGGATAATTTGTGATAATTTAAAGTACTCCTGTAATATCGAAACCTGAAGTCCAACGCAGCCATTTTTCCAACCCTTTGTACATCCAGCCAATAACTGGAGCCAAGTACGTTGTTGTAAAGAAGAAGAAAAAATATTGGACACAATAAATTAAAGCAAATTAAATTTTGAAAAATAAATAATAGATTTAAATTGTGTGTCAGTATAAAACACTGATTTTGGCAGCAGTTCCATCATCAGTCAAGCTGACGGAAACCTGCAGCCCGAATAAACTGAATTTAATAGGACACCATGAATTCTCTCAGTACCTTTTGATAGCCTTTGAATCTTTTCATTTATACCATTTCATTTGTATCTTTTAATATTTGGTAATGAGGCCTTTTATATGTCCCTTAAACCTTTAGAAACTCCTATGACACCTCTCTACTATTCCTCTCAGTAGTTCAATGGACCTTGGCAAACCTCTTCATGTGTTTCACGAAGAACTTGCGATATTTGAGTTATACACATTGAAACCTCTCAGAACATCTTTATACACTCATATAAAACAGACATTATGATTGTAAAACTATTTTTAAACCTGATACCTTAATATATCCTTGACTGCAGCTCTTGGAGTCTTTCAATATCTTTCATTTTGTTTGTTATATTTTCACAACCTCTCAATTTCTCAATTACTTTTTCACTTTTCTCTGTACAAGTCCCATGGGTAGACCTTTGATCCCTTCACACAGGGTTCAATGGTGGCATCTTTCACAGACTCCAGCACGTTTTGTTGTTTGTTAAATTAAAACTTTATAGCTTACGTACGCAGCCTCTGTTAACGACGTCTGCTTGTGTGTTCGTCAGAGCGTTACCGTATTCAGAGCGACAGTTTCGAGGACATGTGGTTGGTGGTGAAGGAGCTGGTTCAGAGGTTCGACCAACACTTCGCCAAACTTGGAATCAAGGACTTCAAGAAAAGCTTCAGTGGGCCGCTGCCGCTGCAGGAATACTTTCTGTCTGTGGACCATCACTTCCAGGTAGAAACACTTGATGCTACACATTGCAGGAGTTTGTTAGTTGAAATGATGAACATGAATCTACTGTTTTCGGTGAATCATCGGCTTATCTCACATACTCAGTCTTCTTTTACATCTTTTTAGTCTGCCATAAAGCGAAACCATCAATACCAAGCGTAACATTTGTCTTTTTGTCTGCGTGTGTGTCAGCTGCGTGTCAGTGCCCAGCAATATCAGGACCTGCTGTCGGAGCGAGCGGTCCAGTTCAGAGCGATCCAACGCCGCCTGCTGACGAGATTCAAAGACAAAACCCCGGCACCCCTGCAGAACCTGGACACACTCCTGGACGCCACTTACAGCCAGGTCAGACACGCACACGCCAAGTTTTGCTTTTGGACTTGAGCTCACAGCTTGTTCATTCTAAGCGTGTATGGATTTGTGAAGTAGGAAGCTGTTGTTGACAGGAGCAAGTAGAGGTAGTTCAGCATCTGATTAGGACGCCTCTCAGAGGCGGTAGATGAGGAACGTGTAGGAGGCCTGGAGGAGATGGGGAGAAGAAATTCTAGAGCTTGACAGCCTTACTTACTGTGCTGTCACTGCAAGTTAGCTAATTTTTGTGTGTATTTAGTTGTTTTTTTCTCCCCTCTGTTCTTGTGTTTTCTTTTGTGGACTTACACACTTGCAGACACACATAGTCTATGTAACAGAGAGAGAGAGAGAGAGAGCCAGCAACAGGTTATATCTGTTTAAACTTACATGACTTGTGTGTGTGGGGTGTGTGTGCGTGCGTTTGTGTGTCCATCCGTCCATCCGTCCAAGTCCAACTGGGTGTGAGCTCACAGCTAATCACCCAAACAGAGGAAGTCCATAAATCACCAGAATACAACCGTCACACTGTAAATCTACACTAACACATCATCACTATGTGTCGGTGTGTGCGCTTTTACATCTAGATTTGTGGGGACCGAGTTGAGTTTTAGACCTTGGAAGTGAGAACATTTGTGGAAGGTGAGGATTTTTTGGCTGGTCCTCACCACGGTTCTGACTCAACTGCAGGGTTACGGATAGAATTATGGGTGTTGGTGGAGGTGAGGCGTTCAGTTATGATTGCTAAAGGGGGCTCAGCGAGTGAGCTCAAAAAGATAGAACAACGTGTGTGTGTGTGTGTGTGTTTGCATGGGTGTGCAGTTTAGCTGAGGTCAGAATGAAGCTGATTTTAAAACAAAGCAGCCGTTAAGCTTTTGTCTCGCCCCTTTGTTTAACTTTGACGTATGGGAGGGCGGAACTGTATCGGTGTCACCGCGATGTTGTTTATACGTGTGTGTGTGCGCGAGCGAGACAAAGTGATGGTTGCTTGCCCCCGCTGTTTACTCTAGAGGCCGACTTGGCGGTCATCACTTCCACCGTCCATTAGCTTCTCGTTAACGTAGCAAGGCGGAGTGACATCATCTCTTCATTAGCTGTTAAAGCTGTCAGTACGTCACTGTTTGGCTCCGTGGGATCAGAGACACTCTATCGGTCCGACACAGTGCAATAACAATACATTCATTTAATGCAAATTAACTTCTCAGAGTTCTGAGACTTTTTTCTTTTTTGGCGCCTAATGAGAGGAAATAAATGAGCTTGTTGAAGTTCCTAATGCCGCTTTAAACCAAATAAACAGTGTTCACCTTGGCTTGGCTTGGCTTTCGCTAGAATAAGCAATCAGGAAGCCTCATCTAAACATGTCTGCCTTAAATGTTAATATACTCAGCCTATTTAATATCTACCGCTTTAACAGTTTAATCAGCAGCACTCACCGTGATCGCATTTCAACTGTAATATTTTTTAGGCATGCCAAACAGTGAAATTGTTAAAAAATTAACAATCAGTGGGTCATTTTAGTGCATACTGTTGTGGGCATATCATGTATTGATATTGAAGGGCAGAAAGAAGCTTACCACTCCATAACAAATAATAATTTTACATTGCTTTTCTATATTTCAATGGAGCAAATTTGCAACCACTTGCTTCAGCTGCCTCTTCTATGCTTTGAAGAGGCTGTACCTAAGTTACAGTAAACCCTGCACTGCCCCTGTTGGTCTGTTTACACGCCTCAGGATACCATTTGCCCTCAGTTTAGCTGTAGTATCAGCTGGATCAGTGATCTTGGGAACACTGTCTAATTACTGTAAGGCAATTAAAGATGAACAAAACCGTGTCTGTGCACCTTTCCACACTGATGTGACTTCAGCTCCATCCCACAGATTCAGACCGGTGTTGCAGAAAACATGACTGTGTCCAACATCATTAATATTAATCTATTAATAACTTCAGCAGAGTTCTACTGAGTAGCCGATATTTCCTCACTGTGCTCCATCTTTCTTAAGTGGCAAAATTGTAAATTACACCATGATCACAGCAAACCCCAGTAACAGCTCGATGTTATCCAGTCTGGTACTTCTTTGATTTGGAAAGAATTTTTTTGTTGATAAGTTGAGTGTTTCAGCTGAAACTGGATGACTCAGAAATCAGTATCATGCTGGAAAGGCTGAGAAAACGGATTTTCTAGTCACCAATTTGTAAAATGTGGGTTTAAAAAGCTGCAAGTTTACTTTGAGTTTTTATAATCTTGTAATTTTTTGACACATTTGCCTCCTGCATGTTTAGTCAGTCAACAGTCCTCTCTCTTCCTTGTCCTGGCTGTAGATTTAAACGGGACAACAGGTCTAAAATAAATGTACTAAGTCTCATTATTCTACTGTCTATTTGTTTTAACTGATCATGCAATCTGAAAGTATAAGTAAAGCTCAGATTTGATGCTCTTAAGTTCAGCCACTGGAGCCTTACTGTTATTTATTGTTATCTACATGCACAGTTTTATATAAGTGTTTAAAAATGATTAGTCATGATATACAGTCATTATCAGTGGATTAAGTGCCTCACCATAAAGTCATCATTTGTATCCAAAGGTTTATTAGAAGTCATTCCATTATCATTTGTATATACAGTGCAGTCATCACCGTTAAACTTTGCGTAACCTTATAACTCACGCCGCTGACGTCCCATCTGCAGTTTGAACGACCTGTCAAAATGCTATTGTCTCACGCCATTCTAGCTGTTTATAGCTCTGAAATCATCACGACTCCGCCTCCTCAGGCTAATGCTTTCTGCTGCCACTCCTGTCCATCACCCCTTTCTCTTTCTCTCAGTCTTTCTCCCTCCGTCTTCCTCTCTTCCCGCCATCCAGCGGCTCGCATGCGGGAAGTTTCTGACACACTATACACTCTGTAATGTATACACACCCGCCATAATGGAGGCTATCGACGGCTGGTCGGAAGAGTGATGAATGCGTCAAATTAATAATTCATGTCAGTATTAAGAGTCATGCTGCTGAGGCCAGGGCCAGCTCAGCAGTTTGGCTTCTGTAACAGGATGGATTTTGTGAGGATACATCACGTCCTCATTTTTGTAGAATGTTTGACAGGGAGTTGGATAAAGCCTTAAATCAAATATGCTATTAATTTGATTATTTCTACTTTCATCGATATCAGTGGATTTTCTTCCCTTGGTCACTTTTTTTTACTCTTTGGGTCATGATTTCATTTTTTATTTTATTTTTTGAAGAAATAGGAAAAAGGAATTCCTTTCCAACTTTTTTTTATTTCTCATCTTTCATTTTTCTTTGTAAGTGGATCCTTATTTCTGGTTTTCATTTCCCTGTAAAAATGTTGACAAGGAGATGGCAAACATCTCTTTTAAGAGTCACTCAGCTACAGTGGAGTTCATCTTTTATCTTCCCAATTCATTGGTTAACACTTTGCTCAGAGGCACTTCAGTGGTCCCGCTGCAGGAAGGTCCAGCGTTGCTCCGTTCCTTCTTGCACTGTGATCTTTTTCCAATCCGTATCAGGAATTTAAATCAATGACTTCCTGGTTGTAACCCCTCCAGCAGGTGAAAGCTTGCTGGACTGTTTACAAAGCAGAGATTTTGTGTAGGTTTACCTCATGAAGCTGCGTCTCCGTGCCTGCAATCACGCTGCTGTTAGAATGCTGAAGGAATGTGTGGCCAATCAGGAATGCTGGTGAACCAGGCACCTCTTTCATTTCAGCTAGAAGGAATGTCTGCTGGGTAAATTTTCTGCATCAATCTTGGCTGATGGGGGGATTTCCCCCTCGTTAGCGGTGTGTGTCTCCACATGCAGTGGCCGGCAATCGCCGACGAGCCGTCAGAGATAAGAGGAATGAGTTCCCTGTGAGAATACTCTGTGGTCGGCTGTGCATTTATGCAGTGGAGGATAATATTTCCATTGTTCATGCTGCCTTTATGGGCCTATATTTTATTCATGAATTCCTGAGAGCTAGCGAGCCACGTCTGACTTTATGTGTGTGTGTATATGTAAGCGCAAAAAACTTTTTCATCTGCCGACTACAGTGGCCGGTTTCCAAAATACACCCAATGTTTGAACCAGCCAAATATGATTGATGAGTTTCAGAACAGAGTGAGACCCATGAATGATTGTTTGTTGTGTGGCAGAGAAGCTGGTAGAAAAGACAAACCAGCTATGGACAAAATTCGCCAGTTTGTTTGGCCGCTGGAGGTAATTTCCAGCTCTGCGCTGTGAGTGTTTCTGTCTTCTATCGAGGTTGGAGGTGTGTTTCTTCTCCACCTCCCACCCCTGTCACTCCTTAAAAAGCCATCAGTCACCGCGGCCCCTGTATTTTACCCTCTCCCCTCTAACTGGTGTTTGATTAATCTATGGCTGCCAGAGGTTAGCCTGGCATTAGCGCTGCTCATTCTAACTAACCTGCTAACCTCTCGGATTTCGACAAGGCGAACCCAGCGCTGTCGCTCAAAGAAATAAAAACTAAAAGCGTTAAAAGACTTTGTGGAAATGGGGGGGGCTGCAAAACACGGAGGGAGACTTTTTAGTTTCCATAAATATTTTCCTCAGCGCTGTTTCCTCTGGAGGTGAAACGTCCGTCGTTTGTTAGTATTAGCATTAGCGCCGAGCTAGCAAACGCTGCCGTCTGGGAGGCGGTGGGGGGGCTCGGGAGCCAGGCCGGGCCAAGCCAAGCCGAGTCTCCCTGTAATTATGAGTTCAAACGCTGGAAGAGGGCGGCTCGCTGACTGACGGGGTGACTGACAGGCCGTCCAGGGGCCTTGCAGGGCCCCTAATGGAGGCTTCTGGTAGACAGCAGCTTGATTTATCTGGCCCCAAATGGAGCTCTAAACATGGCTAAACACAGATCCCACTGTGGAGAGCGGGACCACCGCCATTAACAGCCGGGCCTCTCACGCCCCGCGTCCACGAGCGTGCATCCAAAAGTGCGTGAGGAAGTGTGCGATCGAACCAAGTGTACATGTATATGCGCGCTTATGTT